TTTTATTAGAAATACATTTCCTTAGTGATTTTCAGTCTGGATTCAGACCTGGTGATAGTACTGTTAACCAACTCACCTATATTGTTCATATAATTTATCAAGCCTTGGATATGGGGAAAGAAGTATGTATGGTTTTTCTTGATTTTACTAAAGCATTTGATAAGGTATGGCATAAGGGTTTACTTTACAAATTGCAAACTCTTGGGCTGAAAGACCCTCTCCTAAGTTGGTTTCGTAGTTATTTAACAGACCGAAAACAAAGAGTTGTTATCGATGGGCAGACCTCGAGTTGGTTAAACACTGAAGCTGGTGTCCCACAGGGCTCTGAAGCTGAATCCTTCCAAATGTGAAAGTATTACTTTTTCAAGAAAACTTTCTGGACAAACACATCCTACATTACATTTAGATGGCAATGCTTTACGAGAAGTTAATTCTCATATTCATCTAGGATTGAAATTTACGTCAAATTTTACTTGGAATCATGATATTCAAAGTATACATAAAAAAGCTAGCAAGATGATGAATCTCTTAAAAAGTGTAAAATATAAGCTCCATAGATCAACCCTTATCTCATTATATAAAAGTCTTGTTAGACCTCTGATGGAATATGCTGATGTCATATGGGACGGATGTACTGAAAGTGAAGCAAATCTTTTAGAGGGAGTACAGAGAGAGTATATCGGCTCGTATAGTTACTGGACTAGACGATTTCTACATAAATTATCGTTGCTTTATAAAATAATAAACGGCCTCACTCCATCCTACCTTCGTGATCTTTTACCTCGATATGTCTATCAGAGATCTGATCACCACCTTAGATCTAATGAAAATTTCACCTATATTCCTACTAGTACCGAACGTTTTAAAAAATCTTTTTTCCCATCAGTAATTGCAGCTAGGAATGAACTTGATAATGACTTCTGTAATGTAGAATCATTACTATTATTCAAAAGTAAACTATATAATGTATTTTATGGAATGAAATATAATACTCTCTACAACACCTCGTTAAATCGATACAGTTCAATACTACATAGTAGACTTTGCCTAGGTCATTGTGCATTGAATTCGCATTTATATAGTATTAACTGTGCAATTTCTCCATATTGTAAATGTAGATGGGGAATAGTGGAATCAATTAAACATTTCTTTCTGCACTGTCCCCGATATGCTGCTCAGCGACAATGCTTGCTTTTCCTCATCTGCACAGTTGCTCCATGCTACGTGGTTGAGCTTATCGGAAGATCAGATAGTCAAAACATTTCTACATGGTTCACAAATACTTGGTTATGAAGATAATCAAATTTTGATGCGGAATGTTCAACTGTTTATTCTCCAAAGCGATTTATTAATTGAATTGAATATTAATACGTAATATATAACTTATCTTTAGGTTTTGAGATCTCCTCACTGAGCTTAACTATACTTCTTTTTCTTTATAATTATTTTATCATGTTTGTGTATACCTTTTATTTAAACACGATGTACTCTAATGTTTTAAATAAGTCAACATGATCTCCCTCGATGAGCCTAGCTCTTGGAGAAAATGTTGAGAATAAAATATGTTTAAATAAAAAAAAAAATCTTTCTGCTTGGCCAGTTGCGCTGGGTATGGAAATTATGAAATACACACTTGAGAACATTTTCAACTTTTCAACTTAGTGCATAATCCCAGTGCTGTGTGATGCATTCTGCGTCCTTGTCCTCGAACGTAAATTTGTCAATGCACTCCAAAATTTCCTTACAGCATCTATATTCTCTAGTGTCCTGCAATAATTTGTCGCTACAATGTCCACATGAGCACCTGAAAATAAACTTGCATATCAGACGAAACAGGGTAATAAATAGTCGAGGAACGGGTTAATATAATATTACTTTTATAACTTTACTTACCATGAATTAACAGCTACAATTTTCTTAAATCTCGCCTCAAGAGTTTCATGAAGAATGCCGTCTTCGTCCATTTGGTCTTCCTCGTAGTCACTATATGCGACTAGCTCAAATTGATATGACTGAACAACAGACGATTGCTCAGCGATGTCCTCATTATCTGTTGACCCTTCTGTCTCTGTCTGTGATTCAAAGCTTTCGTTATCGGACATTTTTATAGCGAAATATAAAGGCAACTGTCTGATGTTCGTGTTATTTTGTTGTTTTCGTATAGTGAAACACTTCGGCGTGTCATACTGCATACGTCACAAGGCCCGGAACTCTAGGTACCAGTCTTTCACCAGTAGATAGTCAAAAAAGCGAACTTTAATTGTAAAATTAACAAACTTCTGGTTCGAATTTTTCAACAAGGTTTGTATTTTTATGATCGCAAAAGACCAAATTTTCAGAAAATGCAAAATCGAAATTTTCATTTCATATACACTTTAAGATGTAGACTTAAATATTTACAATAGATCATGAATACAAACTTAGCCTACTTCTAGGTTCGTTTTTCCAAATTCAGTGGATGATTCCAGCTATAGACTTAATTTTGATCTAGGCAAGAAAAACGAAATCCATCACCACAGCTAGCAAGAGCATCTTAAAATTAGTAAAATTGCAAATTTGGTTGTGAACTGTTGCAAAATGCAGAAATTTGCAAATTTTGTATTATTTCGCACACTGGAAAATGCACCACTTTCGGCCCAAATGTGGCGCATTTTCCCTTGCATAATACAAAATTTGCAAATTTCACAGGGGTATATCTTCCAACCTTTGCAATATTATTAATTTTAAGATTCTCTATCTAGCTTAGATTTCGTTCTTTTTGCCTAGATCGGAATTTCGTATATATCCGCGTCTAATGCTCGAACCACGGCGTATAATGCGAAAAGCACCGCGTATAATGCGAAAAGCACCCAACAAAATGCCGTTTGATCACTTAAGACAGCTATGGCTTTCCATATGATTTAGTGAAAATGTATATTTACTTAATAAAAATGTTTCTAAAGAACGAGTCTGAGGGAAGGTGTAACACTATCTATACAATAATAGGTAAATGTAGACTCAAAACAAATTAACACTATAAAATTGACTATTTAAATTACATTTACAAAAGAACAATGTAAGGCCAAGGGCCGGTTATAGTTATATTTCTATACTTATGCTGTGTCTTGTATATAGCGCATTTAAAATTATACGTTATGAGGCAATTAAAGTTTGTGCGGCTATAGGATTATACGCCTTTTGAGAAAGGTTACAGCCATATTGGCATGCACACCGTCACCTTCAGGGCACAATATGAAGGCAAAATGGAATTGTCCCAGGATAACGTCTGTCTGCTCTACTAACAATGCTTATATAAAATGCAATTGGCATAATGAAATTAAATTGAATCCGGCACATTAAACACATAATATAAAGTAAGATATACAGAAACATAAAAACCCTTTTTATATTATAGTTTGTATATGAGACATGAGGCTATATTTTGCGTGTGCAAATATTAATTAGAATACAATTGCATAATGCGGTATGTCCGGTAAAATATTAAAAACAAATCACACAGAAGAATATAGCATGATAAGGCCCAGAAAATAAGGCGCTGATACATAACACCACCAATACAATTTAGAATAGAATACCAAGAGGGAAACAAACAAATAAGAGATATGCCATATTGTCACACAACTGCAAATTAAGACTAGCTAAATTATGCAAGTTTAGTTTATGCATGTATCAGAACAAAGAAGAAAGAAACAATTAATTTCAGTGTCCACGTTCACAAAACTTAAATGAGCTCTAGCTATATTATGTGAATTGAAGGCAACTTTAATGAGTTTATCGCAACAAACACATCAAATTTGAAATGACACAAACATGTAGTTGGTGATAGTTCTTATACTGCTGTCAACAGTATGCATGGTGTCTGGGCAGGCCGGTAAACTATACTGCAGTGGCATATTGAGTGACGCACAATTTACATTAGGCCTATTGAACCTCACACATACACATATTTTGTGTTATAACTTTAACTGTGAAATTTACAAATTATTTTTTAAGGTCTGGACATAAAAACTATCTTGGTTCGTCGTACTCTGTATTTGTCTCTCGTACGCTCAAAACTATGCTATGCGTCTCAAGTCTGGGCTCCACAATCCGTGGAACTGATCAAACGCATGGAAAGAATCCAGAGGCACGCGAGCAAGTTTATTTTGGATCTACCATTCAACTGCGATGTCAGTTATAGTAAGAGACTCAAACTATTAGGCCTCATTCCGCTCTGCTATTGGCACGAATTCCTCGATCTGTTGTTTTATTTTAAGTGTGTAAATGGGATAATAAACATCAATGGCAACATTCTACCATCAATTCAGATACGGCAGAGAGCAACGCGATCAGCTGACCCCGACTGTTTGAAGTTCACCACACCGAAGTGTAGGACTGCAACATTCCAGAGATCGTTTATATCCAGGTGTGCAAGAGTATGGAATGTTCTGCCAAAAGAGTTGACAACAAAGAACATAAGCTTAGGTCGTTTCAAAAGCAATCTCTATGAATATTACAAATCGGCTCTGAACATTTACGACGCAGAAAATCCTAGATCATGGAAGTCTATATGTTTGTCTTGTAACAAGTCCCGTAATTTGTCTTGTTCAAATTTGTGTTGTTATTAATTATAATGTGTGTCGGTCTTGTTAAGCTTCATTGTCGGCTATTTTCCACTCAATAAAATTTTCCGCAGGAGCGCACAGCATTGAAACTAACGACTTTAGCACTATGCAACTTTCCTTCCGTTACTATCCTGTGGAGGGTTTTCGTGGGTGCAAACTGGCCTTTTTTATATTACTAAAGATCTAATGTAGAATGATACATGTTCGTTCTGTAAGGGCTGCTGTAATTGGTGCAAAGGCCAAATAAAAAAAATAGCTGGTTTCAGGTTTCACAGCCATGTTTTATATGGGTAGCTAGGTCGGAAAAACATTTTATTTTAAAAATATTTTATATCAAGTATGCAATAACAGGATAACCTGTGACCTACATGTTTTTCGCGAGAAATAAACGCATCAAGGTGTTTTCGCCTTTTTTCAGCAGTAGCTGCCATTTCAGATACGTTTTTAATATTTTATTCAACTGTTCTTTGTGTAAAACTAGGATTAACATGACTATATGATTTAATTATAAGCAAACAAAATAATTTGTACATAAACAAGTCTAATGACTATTTATATATTCGGCTATTTACGATCTCTACTGGGAAAAGTCAATAAAATGTTTATGGTCGGTCATATTTTTGACAGGTCGGTCGGAAACCTGAAACCAACTATTATTTTTATTTGGCCAAAGCTGTAGCATATACCCTACCATTGATTGATTGATAGTTTGTATATTCTTGTGTTTGTATTTGTGCAGATATGATTGTGTGAAATTGGCAAAGCATAATAAATAAACAAATAATTATGTGCACAGTTATAGTCATAACATAATATTATACAGTAAACAGGGGTTTAATTAATAAGCCATGCATACACCATTTAAATAAAATCGCAATATCTTAAGTATGTTAAGTCTAAAAGTCATACTTATATCTTGCATTCCTAAGTCAGCACTTGTTTCCATTTAACAAACTGACTGACACCATTTTCAGAATATGGGAGAGGTGTTAAATAGCTATATGTAACTAACCCAAATCCTACCCCTGTTCTAACCCCTAACCCTAACGGCAACTCTAACCCTACAATTAATAAAACAAAATAAAAAAAGAAACAACTTTATAAGAAATAGATAAAATGATGTAACGTTAGTTTGGTAGATGGAAACAAATGAAAAGGAAACAGTATACTATGCAATAAAAATGACATATTTAGCATAACGTTATGTTACAACACATCAAATATATATATATAGTGTCTGATTTTTTCTCTTGTGGGACATCAAATGTTTATATACTGTTTGCTGTTTCATCGTCAGGTGTTCTTTGATGTGTGTTCCTATTGTCCTACCCGTTTCTCCTATATATAATGCCTCGCAGTATGAGCACTTAATTTTATAAACTACATTCTTGTTGAGACATCTATCGACTTTATTGGTACATTTACATGTTTCACAAGCATTAGGGCAATGTGTCCATTCTCTGGATGGAGCAAATACTCTACGTGACGATTCGGATACGGATTTTGATTGGCTTAGGCAGAAAATGAAACCTTTTAGAGCAATTTTCCTGATTATCACGTACGAGCGTTGTAATGTATTGTTGTAATTGTATTGTTTGAAACTTTGAATCACATCCTCAAGACGTTCTTGGCCTTATTTTGTAAACTGATAGTGCTAGTAATGACGGAATGTCTTCGTACGAAGACAAGTATCTCAACCTGGTATTGGGAGTTGTGTCTGGAGTTTCAAGGCAAGTGTTTTGTCATTTCTAGACATTCCATTTCAATGTTTTGCCGTTGCCATGGCGTTGTAAATTTATTTGCATTTAGTATAGCTTCACTAGTACGACCGAGTATGTCCTCATATTGCATTTTTTGTGTTGAAATAATCCTTCCATACTGAAATTGACAAATATAAATGGTATTTATTTATATTGTTGTCGAAAATTTATGGTGTTTTAGGCATAACTCTGATTCCTAGGCAAAGTAAAATGAGCCTTGAGCACATGTTTGGTTGTTTGTTACATACATAATAGACCAAGTATTCATACTTATATCTTACCAGTTTGGCTCTTATTATAATTTCAAGTGGCGCCATATAGATTATGTCTATAAAAACGTTTTATTTGCAGTTACAAAGGTATTGATCCTGTTCCTAGCTGCTGTTCCTGTTTCATAGCCTCAGGGAAGTAGCAGTTCTGAGAATCCCACTCCCCAGTCCCCATTAGGAAAACGTGTAAGTGTAGAGGGAAGGTAGGGGGATGAGTAGAGGTAGAGGGAAGCCCAGCCACTAGGATCCAAGGTTTTGAAAGCTACCTGTCTAGCACCCCCACTAGGCCCCATAGTACATGATGGATATGGTGATGCTGACACTAGGAATATTATCCCACATACAAATAATCCAAAAATCATTCCCATATACTAATAAAGAAGGGTCTTGGAGTCCACCAACCTTGAGGAGATTGAGAGGTTGATTGTCTTTTTAGTATATGCAGGTTTGGTAAAGATTGACAGTGAGATTGAAAATTATTGGAGTGTAAAAACCTTATATCATGGTCTGTGGGCAATAGAAATAATTTCTCAGTTTAGTACAAAGCGCTGTAAAGCAAAGTTTCTGAATATGGTAGATTCTGTCACTGAAGACTACAGCAATAAACTGCATCAACAACTGTACCAGCCATCACAGAAAATTGCTGTTGATGAACACACTATCAAATCAAGGAATAGCTTGGGGGATTAGGCAGTTCATGAAAGATGGCCTACTATGTGGGGGATAAATCTGTTGGTTGCTGCAGACAGTCCTAATGGTTATATTGCGACTTTGAGATTTATTCAGGAAGAAGTCCATCGCAGCATGGATTTGGGTATGACGTGGTGATGTGATATAGGTTTGGTTACAGTCTTAGGTCTTTTGTGGTACAATATATATTTTGTGCAAAAAAGGAAATATTTTCACCACATAATCCAATTATGTGCCTTGGCAAACATTACTACCTTGCAAAACATTACTTTGTATAACTACTAATGATGACGCCAGCCCGACAACACTTGGTCATGCTATATGCAAATATTTTCATGTTCTAGATTGTGAAAACAATCAATTTCTAAAGAAATGAGTAATGATTATTTAAAATTTGAATAGCATGACCAAATTTTCAGGCTGGTTATGCCACTGATAACTAAGTCAATGGTGTACTGATTGTCTAAGAATGTATATAGTAACCGTAGAAATAAAGACATTTTGCAAATAGTGATTTGAGTGTTCTTTTGTGGTTATCACGGACTTATTTTGGTGCCATACTATCCTTCGAGTGTAAGCAATATTGGAAATTTGTATTGATAATATGTTGAAGCAATGAAAAAGGACCTTTGATAAGGGTATTTGTTTCATGTGAGCACAAAATGTAAGTTTTACTCAACTACATAGTTTAATAAAAAAATCAATAAAAATACTTCCATTTATGCTACATGCATAAAACTTCAGGTAGGTGTAGATCACAACCGTGTCTTTCAGTCATATTCATAAAATTTTTTGACATATTTGAAATTTGAACCGCTAAATACATTTATGCATAATTGCAACATTTTTATATCATAATTTATGCAAATTTATGCGAGTAAATCGTTAACCAAGCTCGGGATGAGATTGAAATTTAACAGATCTTTTGAGATTTTACACCGTAGAAAATTTTTTGAATTTTTAACTATTGAAACAGATTTTTCAAATTTTATTTTGGTTAGTAAAGTGATACCGCCAGACTTGCGAGATACCCGGTTGGTATGAGGCATTGCAGTCTCAGAGACAAAAGCCCTGAAACCAGGAATATCAATGTTAGTACTAGAAAATACATGCATGCAGAAACCCTCGACTTGCTGTCAAAACCATTGTATTTTCCGAACGTGAAGTATCTAGAGTAGTTGTCATGGTAACATGATAATGTTTTAAGAATATTCTTACAAATCGCCTAAAAATATCACTTTTAATTACAAAATTATCAATTTCCCAACATATATATGTTAGATATGTTATTGTACGTAATATAAGCTTCAATTTAAGGTAAAAAATTCAACCACAAACACTTCGCAAAACGTTTTAATTAAAATGTTTTTTGTAAAACTAAACTGCCTTTAATTAAATGTTTGTTTAGGTTCCAACCATAGAGGATGATATACCTCTGAAAAATAGGCCTGCTGAGGAATTTGGTAGGAAAAAGTGTGACTGTCAGTTTTTTTTATTTCGACAGTCACTAGAAACATGATGTTGACAGAGGCAATTGTGATTGGTAACTGAAACCATTTATGTTTATGTAGTGGACAAGCTTGACCATCCATCAACTATTGGTCAACACTAATCAACTAGGAGCGAGATGTTAGAAATGGAAGTAGATGTGGCTGGTGTGATTGGGAGTGAAGATGAATCAATGGACGAAACTGATGATGTGACCCTCAGTACGAGATGGAAGCCGATCATGACAATTCTGAATCTGAGAGTGATGAGTCTGATGAAGAATCAGAGTAAGCTAATTTGATTATTAAATAACCGAATACAGTCAACACAAAGGAAATCTCAGCTGTCCAGATGGGGAAGGATTCCCATGGAAGTACATTTTTTTGGATATAAAAGGGACAAGGGCTGATGTAGTTCATCATTATGTAGTCTAATTGATATAATGTATGCTATTTATATACTTCTCATAGGTTACTGACAATGGATGACGAAAACTTGAGGACCATACCAAAACACGTTGTATTTTTGTTGCAGCTGCTTGCTGTTGTTGCTCCGTTTCTGTCATTTGTGCAAAGCTGACAACCCTCTAGTGGAAACAAGAGAAGTTCGCTCAAAAGCTGTGGTCACAACGATAATTTGCAACCCAAAGTGCCCACAGAACACAACAATGTGGCATAGTCAACCTATGATGCCTGGAACCAAAATTTCTACTGGGAATGTCCTTGTATGTATGGCTACTCTACTCGGTGGTGGTTCTTTTTCAAAAGTTACACAGATATTTCTACACATGGGCCTCGGTTGTGTATCTCTGAGTACATACTTCGGTTATGAAAAGGTTTGTAAATTATGTGCAAACACTATATTTAGCAAACAATAGACACTAAATTTAGATTTAAATTGAATTGCATTTTATACTAACTCAAAGCGTGAAGTTACAAGTCAGTCCAAGAATCCTCAAAAACAAAGATGTCCTCACTCATTCACTATTTCCATTTAGGATTAATAGGTTTACATTGTTATGGTAGCTGTCCAGTGAACAACATCTTATTTTTGCTCTGCATATAGTTCAAACTATGTACTGATTTATTCAATATAGAGAAAATGATGACTTTACAATAATTATGTGTTGAAATCGTACCTTATTAACAAATAGAATATCCAGAATGTTAACCATAACTTGCAATGACTTGGAGGTTCCTATCTTGGGGTTAGTAATTATAAGTTGATATTAGCATTTCTAGGTGTGTTTACACTATTCATATGAGAAAGCTAGTCAGTGTTGGGGGCGGGCCATGGGAGGGGATTATGGGCATATATATTAATTTAGCCAATTCCCAGTCTTTACTGATTGCTTAGCAACACTAAGATTTCATATATATATATATAATTTATTTAGACTAAGCTGTTTCCAACTATCTACCTTCTTTGAAAGAAATACCAGGGGATGTTGATAGAAAAGGCTAAAAAAGTCAAGGGAGGTGTGGTAATGGCAGGAGATGGTCGCCACGACAGCATGGGACACTCAGCTAAATTCTGTGCATATACAATGTTATTTTGTACCATGATGAAAATCATACACTTTGATCCTGCGCCAGTATATATATATATATATATATATAGCTCAGTGACCCAGACTATCTTGGGCTCCCTGTGCTCCTTGTATTATTGTCGGCCATACTGGTTTTTGCTCTCTCGTTAAGTTTTGTCTTAAATAAAACCTTTTTCCTTTAACCTGTCTGGTGTTGGGTCAAGTTGTCTTTCATTATTGGCGTGGTGGCAGTGTTATAAAGAACCCAAGCTGAGTAAAAAAGCTACAACCCGACGAGCGCCCTGAGGACCTGTATCAACGTCTTATGGCATTTGTCGAGGATAGTCTCCTGAGTTCTAGTGGTAACATCACACATCACAATGAGCAAATTACAGAAGATGAGGAACTTTCTCCCACTTTGGAAAATGTTGTTGTTCTCACATGGCTTCACCTTATTAACCCAGCCCTCCCAAATCTTATCAAACAGCGTTATGGAACAGAACTCCGCTCCCGAACTCTTGCTTCCATAAAGCCTGAAATTTCACAAGCTATGAGCTCGTTGCTTCATGAAATTGCAACAAATGATGAAGCAAAAGTTATGCACACTCAAACATTCAGGCGAGGTCCTAGTAGACGTCTACCTGTACCAGCAACGAAGCAACCTGGGTCTACACGTCTGCGTGAGAAGTCATGTCCCTTATGTAAACAAGCAAGTCGCCCTGACAACCACTTTCTTAGCGAATGCAGATTTCTCCCTGAAAGAGACCGGAAGTACATGGTTAAGGCAAGGCAAATAGCCTCTATCCTGGAAGATGATGAAGAAAGTTTCGATGATGCTGCAGCGGAAGATTACCCCCACAGTAATGATGTACCAGAATTTCCAGTTCCTGCCAGTCGCCTAGTCCAAGTGTGTCAATCACCGTACATTGGTGTATCCGTTAGCCATCACACCGTTCGTGTCACTATTGATAGTGGAGCAACTTGCAACATGATTCGTGCATCAACCGTGAAGCGACTTGGAGCCAATATTAAAGCTAGCTCCCAATCCGCACGACAGGCTGACGGCCATTTACCCTTGGAAGTCATTGGTGAAACTCGCGTAGCATTCACAAGAGAAAAGTATGAGCTGTGCTTTGAGGGATTGGTTGTGGAAAATCTGGATGTTGAGATCCTTGCTGGTACTCCATTCATGGAAGCTAATGACATATCTGTCAGACCTGCTCGACGCACAGTTCTCATTTGTGACACTTCCTACATATATGGATCAAACGAAACCAAGTCTCCAGCTGTACGACGTGCTGTTGTTCTCAGAGCTCCTTCAACCTCTACCACTATTTGGCCTGGTGAATTTATTGAAATAGCACGGCCGGACGGTATCCCCGACAACGTGTATGCTCTTGAACCTCGCACTGATGCCCCAAGTGCTTGATTTGCCAAAGTATCTCAGTTGTGGCCCATGCCTTGTATCATATCCAGTGTTGCTGGCATGATCCGCATTCCAAACCTCTCAGACCAGCCATTAGCTTTGAAGCGCAACGAGCACTTTTGTCAACTAAACTCTGTTTTTAATCCATTAAAGGCAGATGAGTAGCAGAGACCCATTCCTATACCCACCAAGCCACAACCAACTCCGAAAGAAAAGTGTTTTTCCAGTTCCATCAGTCTTGATCCTTCGCATTTACTATCCACCAATGTGTTCGTTAAGTTTGGTAATCTTCATAAACAATTCGATACTGTGTTTAACCCCGAGATTGAAGGCTACAATGGTGCTTCAGGCCCCTTCAAAGCCAAAGTAAACATGGGTCCTGTCGAGCCACCACAATGTAAAGGTCGCTTTACCCCAGTATTCATGTGAGAGACTTGTGGAGCTGCAACAAAAATTCGACGAGCTAGAGGAGTTGGGAGTATTTAAACGGCCAGAAGATGTTGGTATCGCTGTTGAGTACCTTAACCCTTCCTTCTTAGTAAAGAAATCAAATGGAGGGACACGCTTGGTGACTGCCTTTGCGGAAGTTGGCCAATACAGCAAGCCACAGCCTTCTCTCATGCCTGATGTATCTACATTCCTATCCACTATTAGCAGGTACCAGGTTCTAGTTCAACACATTGCTGGCGCATCCATTCTCCCATCCGACTTTGCAAGTCGTAATGCTCCCGAGTGTAGAGACATGGCTTGTCAAGTATGTAATATCATAAACACTACACAATCATCAGTTATTTGTCGCACATCTGTGGCTGAAATCCTAGCTGGTAAAACACACCTTCCCTTCACAAGTAGAGCTGTGTGGCTGTCTATACAGATCTACGCAGGACTCATGCCCATTTACGACAGGGGGACACGTCCTTCAAAGAAGATTACAAACATTAAAGACGTTAAGCGTTACTTTAATGTCACCACTATCGCAAGAGATGGTCTCCTCGTCGTTAAGCGCAGTGAGCCACTTGTACCGACACGAGAATGCACTGTCGTACCACGACAAGTCTCAGATGGCCTCTTGACCGCACTCCATATTCAACTTAATCACCCCTCTGCTAACCAACTAAAAATGGTTACTCGTTGCTATTTATTCGCTCTGGATATGGACAAAGCTATAGAGCATATTACAGATGGATGTCATCACTGTGCTTCCCTGATCAGATGTCCACATACTACAGTTGAGCAGTCTACCACATCTTCCCCCGAGACAGTCAGAGTGTCATTTGCTGCAGATGTAATTAAGCGCAACCGCCAACTAATTTTGGTTCTCTGTGAATGTATTACATCCTTTACCACAACGACATTAATTCAGGATGAACATCACCAATCTCTATGTGATGCGTTAGTTCGTCTGTGTATTGAATTACGCCCTTTAGATGGTCCCCCTGCCGTTAGTTAACGACCCACTTCTGCGTAGTCACCGCCTTTCCATTGAAATAAGTCGAGTGAAAAACAACAATAATAATCCCGTGGCAGAAAGAGCTGTTCAAGAGCTGCAGAACGAGCTTCTTCGACAAGATTCCTCAGATGGGTATGTGTCACCATTAGCCCTTTCAACAGCTACTGCAAGCCTGAACTCCCGAATACGAAGCCGTGGCCTGTCCGCCAGGGAAATGTGGTATCAACAAGATCAGTTCTCTAACTCACAGCTGTCCGTTGACGACCGTCAGCTGATAACAAGCCAGCACGAGACACGCGTCAAAAATCATCACTATAGTGAAAAATCTAAAGCTCCCCGTGGAAAAATGTCACCGTCTCCCGATTTACATATTGGCGATCTTGTCTATCTGTATGCTGACCGTGACAAGTCAAGTGCAAGGGATCGGTATCTTATCGTATCTGTGGACGGACAATGGTGCAATATCCAGAAATTTCGTGGTTCACAGATATGCAACACTTTGTATCGAGTAAAACGTAACAAGTGCTATAAAGTGCCTCCTGCAGTACAAGCCAACCCTAAACGGTACCTCACAGATAACCTGTCGAACGACGAAGAAGAACTGTACCTTCCTTCCTCATCACCACCCCCTCGAATGACCATTCCACAGGAAATATCAACCCCTCCTCAGAAAACCTTAATTCCACCGACTGCTCAGCCAGAAGCAGAACCAGAACTCTTGCTTGAATTGAAGGAACAAGGAGTGCATGAATTGAGTGAACAAGGAACAAGCTGTCAGACGGATGCTCCTGTTATTCACCCACCACAAGATGAAGAACGTGATTACAACGAGCAGCTGTTACGAAGATCATCACGCAGCCATCACCGTCCAGACCGTCTGAACGATTATGTCATACCGTAATTGAACCTCATTTCTGCTTAGCTATATGTACAAATGACGCAAGGATACATTTATTAGTTGGACTTTAGTTTGCCTTTATTTAGTTTAGTTAGCTTTAGTGTAGTTATTAGAACATATATTTACATTTATTCACTATGAAGAGACGGAGAAAATAGACAATGAAAGAAAAGTAGTTACGCCAGTATATATATATATATAGCTCAGTGACCCATCTTGGGCTCTCTGTGCTCCTTGTATTATTGTCGGCCATATTGGTTTTTGCTCTCTCGTTAAGTTTTGTCTTAAATAAAACCTTTTTTCTTTAACCTGTCTGATGTTGGGTCGAGTTGTCTTTCATTATTGGCGCTGTGCAGGTACTGTAGAAATACTGAATTATGCTGAGTTAATTATAGTCATTTCAATAGTGGCATAATTATTACATTTTTAAAATTCCAGGAATGTGTACATAATGGTCTTTGGGAGGATTAAGGGATGATTGTGTCTGCAAATTTATGCTTCTACAACAAAACCAAAAAGTGAAAAATACAATATGCTTCATGTTATATTTGGTCAATTGATAGGTCTTTTTTGACCATCTAAGCAATCATTTGTTCAAATGTTTCCTGACACAACAGCCTGTTGACCCTGCAGAGGGTCTTCAGTGATGATCCACCCTGCTTTAGATGCTGGCCACACCCATCATCTTGTCCAGCACCTGCTTGGCTGTATATTGTGTATATCCCAACATTGTGAGATTCGACCAATGCTTACTTGGTATGGACACATGAATATGTTTGAATGTTAATGGTATTTTGTATTTGTTATTACAGAGAAATCAGGCAGGAAGCAGTCCTGCAATGCAGTTCCTATCATTTAAGTCCTGTATGGAATATTTCAAAAAGCAAGGGTTGACCATAACCACATTTATCTCAGATAGACATGCAATTGCCAAACATATGAGAACTGTGTTGAAAAATATTACACATTATTTCGATATCTGGCACTTAAAGAAAAATAAGTACAATTTCATTTTGATATGTATTTGTATAGACTTCCATGCTTCGATGTAATAGGAGGTGCTGAACTACATTGAGGGAGTCCTTATATATCTCTGCTATGCAGGATTGTCAGTTGCCAAGATGCCATTCATAATAATAGGCAAGGTATTGCATAGTCAGGATGGGAAATGCTCACATAAACTTTCTATCTTGGCTAGGCAGGGTGAATTTGCACATGCTGTGCATGTGCAAAACTTTTAGTTTTCTCCCAAGTGATATAGCTCAATCATTTTTGTGACAAGTTCATGATCAATATTTTCAGAAATATGGAACGTGCTTTCAAAGCTAAGGAAAAAGACTGCGAATCGTTGAACAAATAGGTCAAACCATGAGAGAATCACCTGCACTGGAGTGCAACATCAACATTTAGTGCCAATTGGACTGGTGATATGGGCAAATTTCAAATCATTTTTGGGACACATTGTTAATACACATTCTGATCACAATGATCCACTGTTGAACAAGTGTGGCCATGGCAGTGAGATTCCAGCTAGAAAGTGGCTCACAAAAGGTATATAACGTACAAATTATTTACAAGTATCAGTTCAGTATTAATTGCATGTTACAAAACCAACTAGCCAAGCCCAGATCCCGTTTGAGCACATCATTCTGCATTAGACTTACAATAGGGATGCTCATGTTATGATCATTTTACATTAAGATTCACAACTTTACGATAAAGTCTGTGCTGCATTGACAAATCCCAGGCTGGTGAAAGGAATCAAGCAGGCTTCTCCATTGGAACAAACAAGTTGTCTGGAGGGTTCCATAGCATGCTAAATCAATTTGGCCCCAAAATGATTGCATACCTGTACATTGGACAATACTGCGGGTTTGTGACTTTGATGATAAAATCATCTAGTTTTAGTGAATAATGTACTGTAAGAGCGAAGAGATGCTTAGACATTGACCGGTAATGGGTTAGTTTGGTCATAGTGACTTTATTTAGGATTTCACCCTACACACCTTAGACCTAAGATACTCGTACTGTATTTATATACATTGTTTTTCAGGCATATTCTTGCTGTCATGCATGTTAGTGCAAATCTTCATCGTGCCACAGAGATAAAAAAAGCTGACAACGCGGAACAAATAAAGGTTACTTATCCCAAGTTTAACAACAATTAGGAATGTTAAAATTTCACAAAACGTTTGTAAGTACCACCTGCAGCATGTATATAGATTACAGGTGCATTTAGTATTTTCATCTGTAAATAGTAATTTTTCAAATGTTTATTATATGTAAATTATTTTGATTTGTTACATCTTGTTATCTTTGCAGCATATGTACAGGACTTATTCGAGACATACACTGGGTCAAGCAAAAAAGCACTAAAAGATGCTGCTTTGAGGCTCAAAGAAATGTTTCCAAAGCCAATGGAGTCAATGTTTGAAAATCAAACAAAGGCAGAGGCTCTCAAGAAAAGATTGGACAGACATGGAATGGTCATCCTACATGTCCCACCAACAACACCAGGTACTCATTTCATACATTTCTTGGTATGCCATACCCTTACGCTTGCAATGAGCCAATATAACCCTATCGATTGATGCTGTACAATGGTAGAGCATTTCATTCTGTCTAATCCCAGATGATAAGTACAGTTACTCATAAGTACAGTTACTCATAAGTACAGTCAATTTCACAAAACTTTGACCACAAGTTTGTTGCGAAGTTCAAAAGTTCATAATGTGATTCACAAACCAGTTTGTAAACTATGCATTTCATTGGCTTCTTTTAGGGACCAAATCAGGGACTTTGTTTACAAATTGGCTTGTCAATTCCAATATGAACTTGCAAACCTCACAACGAAGTTCAGAACATTTGTGGTCAAAGTTTTGTGTAATCGACTGTAATGAGCTTATAAAGCATTCACCTCATAACAGTTTCTGAAACAGTCGCAATTTTTTACAGTATCACAAGTTCTTGCACAGGAGAAAGCAAAAAAGTAAAATGAAAAGCATAAAGAGAAGGCTGTTTCATTATGTAGATTGTGCAAGAATCCTATGAAAGGACATAAATATGTCAAAGACTGTCCCAAAAATAAATAGAGCACAGTATTTGGGACAAAAGTGTAACATAAATTTTAATCAAATGTGTAGTTCCAGAAAATATCCATACGTAAGGGACCGGAAATTCCAGGAGATAAGGGGGGGTCATTTCTTCAATATTTCCAGTGGGGTGGGAAGGTACCAAAGCCTTGATATTTCCAGAGGGTCATAAGATATTCAAACCATATTTAATTAAAATTTGGAGCGGTGCAAATTTTACGATGAAAACGTGCACAATCTTGTTAACTTGGTTTATTATTTACATAAACTATACAAATATGTAAATTGTCTGGAGTTTGTTTTACAGTCACCCTATATTTAGGTATTTCATTGACATGTTTACACACAAGCGAAGCATTTCTTACGGCCCAGGTTTTCCCCAATTTTGAGTCTCATTTTATATAATTATCTGTAGTTTGTTGTGAGTTTATGCGGTAGCATAGGACAGTAGCTATTTGCCCAAAATTATGTACAAAAGCATGGTTTTATAGCTTTTCATAGCTTAAACTTTTAGTTTAATGGTATATTTTCCTTGAAAATCAATGCGAAATTTACAAGAATACATACTTTATTATGGCCTACTACAAAAGCGGAAGTGTGTAGGTTTTTAGACTGTATGACTTGACAGCCAATCAACGTCGACCTATTCTTGATCAGTCAAAAAGCTTTAGTCCCTGAGCTGATGGCGCGAAGCGCCATGCAAGGGTACTAATTTCCCCCGGCTATTTACAACCAGGGAAACGAAAGCATTAGCGAAGTCTAAAGTTCATCAAATATCGCGGGCGTCAGTCACCAATGATGGTGAGTGGGTGGTCATCCTCACTGATGTCTAAAATATGGCTGATTGCATGTAGGAGTGGGATGAGCAAGATTTCAATTTTAAAAGACATATATTTGGTAAATCGTTTCATATACAACAAGCTTAATTGGAGCAATTTTGTTTGAAGAGATGAGAAGAATAGATTTACTATGGGAAATCGTGAAATATACTGCAAGTTTCCTTTGAATATTTAATGTTTACGAATTTTGTTTCTGTAATTTTTTGCCTAAAAACATGAACTGTTTTCCTTTTCAACGAAGCTCTAAGTTTCATAAATTACTGTTTAATTTGAGGAAAAATCTTAAAATGTAAAGGAGAACAAATTGATTTGAAGACTGAACTGAAATTACCTAACAATTTGTTTTATTTGTAACTTACTATGTTTTATATTTATTAGTTTATCGGCAAATGAACTATAGTTGAATGAAGATTTCAAAACATTTTACAAAGCATTTCAAGTTAAATTTTACATTAAATCAAAGCTTACAAAATGCAAAATAATATACCTACAGTATATAATATGGAAATTTATTGTTGTATAGTTAAAAGTACGAATCTTTGAACTATTTTGCAGTTTTGTACAAAAAATGGCAACACTTCAGCGCGAGCCTGCGTTCAGTGGGCCATTTCTGAAAACTTCATGTTAATTTAATGTTTGGAAAATATTGGCGAGGGGTTACTGCATGCATGTATTTCTAGTTGATATATTAAACAAGTGAGATGGGAATTCAGTTTCAAATAAAATACCGCTATGACTGACCTTTTAGTTCATGTGAACGGCATTATATCTTGCTCAGTTGTTTTTGAAGACACGAATGTCACGCTTGAAAAATTCCGACACGATGTTTTGACTGAACAAGTTGGTGACATTCTTAAATTCGACTATAAATTTACACGATCAATTCGCAATCAAAAAGTGACAATCGGAAATAAACAAGAAGCTATAATCAAGCTGTCGCAGTGTTTAGACAGTGCAGACGAACCTGCCTTGTTCTTAGTTCTTGGAAAGAAAGACGACGTTGTTGAAGTGGCCAATTCAAATGTAGAAGTTTCAGAGCCGCCAGTTAAAGTTGCAAGAATTTCGCGTCAAGCCTCAATCATGAGCCATCGAAAACGCCGCGCCAGCCGTCAAAGCCTTACTCCGCCACAAGAATCAATGTACTTGCATAAATCTGCCATGTATATTTATATATTTGTACAAAAAAGTAAATAAAATACTGGTTGTTTTGATTAATAATTGTTTTTGATAAATAAAGTACATTACTAGAACAGGTGGGAAATTTGTCTGAGCATGCGCGAGTAAAATGAACCACGCAATGGCGTGGAATACACGCAACACATGTTTACAAAAAGGCACAATCGTGTAAATATTGCCAAATGTTTGTACAAAATAAATGACTGTTTTATGTTGAAAGAGTAGACATGATCTAAATTAATCATACGGAATTTTTTAGTGATGTTCTATTTCAGTACCCTGCCATTGTCTCTGGTGGGCTGTCCGTGTGCATTCGATCTGAAACAGTTGCTACTTTGCTGTCGAGGATTTTCGAATGTTTACATGAAAATAGAGGCAAGTCATGCATTTTACAACCTCTTAAACTGTATGAGCCCCTATTTTTACGCTTATACCTAAGATATCAAATAAAAGTACATGAAACAGAGAGCATTTGTAGGAAGTTTTATCGTGAGGCCACGGGCAGTTTTTAAAATATCTTTATTTCTTTTCCGGTCATCACCAAAATTACACAAAAGCTGGGCTTGAATATACAACAAATTTTGAATCTCATCAAGCACAAAAATACTTAACGTGTAACCAAAATATGCTCATGAAATCGAAATTGATAGTTAAATTTTCAAACTAGACCCTTCTTGAAGCGGTTTTCATGAAGGAAGTTCACATTTCGGCCTTTGATTCTTGGCAAAAATTTGACCACAACACGTGCGAAGCAACTGGGTCTCAAAGACTGAACTAAAACATTGTGAGCCCCTATTTTCCTGACGATATGTTTGATACCTACAAACGCCCAAAAGTGTTTTCTTTTCATTTAGCTATATTTCAAATTGAGGCCACGGGCTATTTTTGAGAAACTACAGTTCAAAGTCAAGCTATTTTTACATGTTTTCAAAATTTGTCAAATTTTGCGAGCTTGTATTTTGAACTTAGACAGCTAAAGTTACATTATGAAACATAGGATCGAAAATTTGAGGCATATAAAGTAATTTCAACGTACATTTCATTCTCAAATCACGTCTTTCTTCATTTATTATGGTTTTAAACAAGCCATAGATCGATGTATACGGTATTTACTCCCATGTTCACGTTGCCATATTAACTTCTTCCAATCACTCGATTACAAAACAATAATCCCAAAACAAAGAATTCATGATCGACTTTTAAAAGAATAACCAATAATTTGTAAATCGTTTAATGGAAACCAAAAATCGTCACCTAAAAGAGCTTCTTGCTAACTTTCTGCTTTGTTTTGAATGTAAATGCAATGAGCTTTGTTTCTGCCCGCAATTTTTTGGTCAGCGACGACAAATTTCTCACCTGTTCAGTACTAGACAGTTAAATATGAGATTTCCAGGGGGTAGGTATAAAAATAAAAAGTAGTAAAACACTGGGTGGTGGGGGGGTCACTGTAGGGGTAGATTTGGAAAATCCAGAGGGTAGGGAGGTCATAGCCAGTAAATTCTTCTTTCTCACTAACAGGAAATGTTTTTCTAACAGCCGTGTACACACATGCTGGCAGAGGTATCCCGTTATTCCCGAGGAATCTAGAACTGTGTGCCGGAGCTCCAGCATATTTTTCCAGAGCCGGAAAACTCCGGCAGACAAAATTATTTCATATTTCAATGAACTTTTGGTAATGGAAAAATTAAGTTGAATTATTTGAAGTTACTATAAAGTTTAATTACTTGCTCTGATCTGATTCGTCGCTTCGAAAATTCTGCAAGCGCATCACTATTGCTTTTGATATGAAAATCCACTGACCCAATGTATTTTGGGCAAAAATACCACACTGTCATGTGGTTTTACTTTCTACAAAACATTGTTTAAACAAGCACCAAAGGATGTATATTTGATAAGTAGAGGAGAAAGCTCAAAAAGGAATAATAAATTCTGAAATTACAGTGAAATATTTTGCCTGCTTCTAATTTAAATATGAAATTTCCTTAAAATATCCTTGCTGGACCCGGAGTTTTGACTGCCGGACCCGGAGCTAAAATAACCAATAACCAGAGTTGTGCAAACTCTAGAAGAATCGATAAACCATCCTCGTAAATTCTCTGTACGAGATACTGCATTACCAGAAATATGGGACAAGATGGTGATGCACATGCCGCACATTGTCCCAATATGGCGACCAAATTTTACTATAAACTCTATAGGAATTGATAAAAATATCAAATTTTCACCTACTTTGATGGAATATTTCATGGTTGCCGAGTTTGATAATAGTAGGCACATGAATAGGGAATATTTGTACATCAAAATCCTAGCATTTCCATTTGTGCTGGTGGTTCCTGAGATCGATGAATTTTTCACTACCATTTGACGCATTGCATAGTATAATCCATAGTAATTCAATCACACATGGGTTCAAACTTTGTTGAAAATCTCATCATCTATTCGGGGGAAAGAAAGTGCCAAGATCGTAATAAAGTTGGCGATGTTTGAACTGTTGATACAGCTAAAAAAATTGGTGGCTAGCCCCGACAAACTGGTTCCCAGAGCATTTTAAAATTGGCTTTTTCCTAGTCTTTTGACACATCAGAATGGAATTTTTCAGTCAGTCTTTGAGCCAGAAGGACAAACCATGAGAGCGTTTTTTCACTGTGTCGAGCAGCCATGTTCTTTATTTACAAAGTAGGGTAGCCCCCAGTCTCTTAGTTCAGAAAAAACCGAGAAATTTGCGTGATTTCATGACTTCATTGCATGTTGAATTAGCAAGTTTGCATGCATAAATTTAGCGGGATTTTCAAAGCATTACGCGGTAAAATCAAAATGTCGGAGGTTCTGGAAGAATACAAGAGAAAACTAGATTGGAAATTGAAATTAAGTTCAGAAGCGCCTCTGACTTATGTCAGGAGACAAGTAGATTTAGCAAACGAGATTTTGTTTTGTGTGGAAATTCCATAGCCTTTATTGCTTTTGTGGAACAACCTTTGTAATAGCACTTCCGGGCAAAATGTAAATTATGTTGAATTATGTATTAAACTAAACGACAAGGTGTACAAACTTAGTGTCAACAGGGGAGAGACACCAATATAAATCCGAAGTAGATAAGAGCAACAAGGAGCTTGAAAAGTACAAAAAGAAATGCAGTGATTTGGAACAAGAGAGGGATAACCTATTAGAACAGATGATGAATGAGAAAGATAAAATGGAACAGGAAATATCTGACCTGACACTTGTAAACAAAGAGCTGGCAGAATATGTGGAAACTCTTGAAAAGAGAGACTTTCTGAACTGTCAGGGGAGAAAGATGCATGAAGTTGGAAGCAAACAGAAGGGAAGGAAACTGCGGGTTCTCAAAAATAAAGCACAATGCGCCTTATGGTTTATGAAGAGCTTCGGCCTTGAAATGAGTCAAATTAAACTAAAAGATGAGGATGGTAGTAATTACTCGTTTGACTATGCTGCAGACCATGATGCTTCCTCAAATTTATGTCAAAATGATATAAAAGAAAGGGTTGAACAAATTCTCTTCCTTTTGGACAAATTCTGTGTTGGCGATGCAGTCTATCATGAATTTACTAGTTTATCAGATGATTTACCAAAATCATATCTAGTGAAACAAATGAAAGGGAATATGAACAAAACCTACCTACCATATTGAAAGGACTCGGGGATATCCTGGTGCTAGGCTTAATTTTACCTCCACTCTGAGAGACCATGTACAAGAACTATGGACTCAGCAACCTGGTTTAATTGATAGTGTTTTACAAGTTAAGTTGAGTGGTGATGGTGCTCGCATAACCCGGTCGACCAATTTTATGATGTTTTCTTTTGCACTTTTGCAACAAAATAATGTTATGTCTTCCAAGAGTAACAGAACTGTTGCCATCATCAATGGTAAAGAGGATTATGAAACACTTAAGACTGCACTTCCTCATTTTTTTGATGAGGTAAACTCCCTTATTGAAAAAGGGACCCTACTTGTTGACGGGAAGGAAGTCAAGTTGGAATTTTCCCTGGGTGCAGACTACATATTTTTGTTGATGGATATGGGCCTGAATTCAGCAAATGCTGACTATGCATGTTTGTGGTGTGAAATCCACAAAAATCTTAGATGGGACACAAGCAAAGATTTACTTTTTTATAATACGGCACCCCTTAAAAGAACCCTGGAAAATATCAAAAAGCAATGCAAATGCAACAAGTCAAACTTTCGCTGTATTAACCCCCCTCTTGTTAATATATCCTTGGATCATGTTGTGGCTGATGAATTATATCTCCTATTAAGAGTGACTGACAGACTTCTTCAAAATATTATCGATGAAATTTTGGAAAAGAATAGTATAGACGACTTCAACAAGCCAAAGGGACATCCGAAAGGAGCAAACTTAATGAAATTTGTTGAAGATGTTAATGAACTTGGTGTTACATTTTCTGTGTGGTACAAAAAAAATGGGGACGGTTCAAGTAGCAATATTTTAGATTACACAAGCCTTGTTGGGGCACAGAAAAAGCTACTTTTAAAAAAATTGCCGTCCAAGTTACCAAATTATCTGAATTCAAACACTGCTGCCACTGTTGTGAAAATATGGGAAGATTTCAAACAATACTATGATTTTATATCCGATCCTAATTTGACAAGTGATATGTCTAATACTGCATTTGAAAAAGCAAAACAGTGGCTCGAATTATTCTGTTCGATAAAAAAGGATCGAACTGGGTATGAAAATCAAAGGGTTACTCCATATATGCACATCATGTGTTACCATGTTCCCATTGTTTATGCAAAATCATGGTTGCTTCAAAAAGTTCACTGGACAAGGTGTAGAGAAAAACAATGATGATGCAAAGAGAATTTTATTTCAAAAATCAAACAAATGGGATTCTGCCAAAGATATACTTTTTATGGAGAGTAGACAGTGGGACCTAGGGGAACATGAGAGGAAGAAAGGCAACTACATTAAAATAAATCATGAATACTGGGATGTAGATATCAACCAAAATCGTAAAAAATCTAAACCACTTACAGAAGCTGCTATCCTTCAGGATGATGATGTGACTGCTGATGTTGCAACTGGTTCAGTTAATTACAGGAGCTTCACAGTCACACAGCTGAGGTAGGCGATCAACGGCAAGGGGATTAATCGAAGAGGACTTTCAAAACTGAAGAAAAGTGAACTTATATCTCTTCTTGAAAGTTCCTGAAGGTTCAAATCATTAAGTTGCACTCAGGGACGCCGGAACAATAAAAAGAAAGGCACAGGCGGGCAGACGCACACCAAAGGGCACCTTAAAAAATCAAAAGTTCGAAATTTACCTGATCAAAAAATTTCGGTCAGTGTAGCATTATAGGGGTCAAAAATTTTTCAGGACATACCAAAACTTTTCGTGCCGTAAATAAATTTTTCCGGACATCCGTAATTTTCTCCATTTATCCGAAATCTTTTTCTAAAATTTTTGTAAATTAACCTCATTCTTTTCAAAATTCACACTTATTTTTGTAAATTAACTTTCTCTGGGCCTATAAATTACCTGAATCTCATGATTTTGCCCTAAAAAGCATCACTGGAAATGTGATTTATTTATTTATTGGAAACCCAATGCGGGTCATCAGTATAGCTTTTCATCATCAGAATGTACATGACATTTGTATATGATACTGATAGGCAGAGGAACAACTCTTATCGGAACATGCTGTGTCAATGACCAGGAAGAGGCTGTCCAAGGAATGGAAAATTGTATTTCGAACCTATGTGATTGGACAAATGGAAGTAAGTAAATTGAAAATGAATGATGGTAAGACTGAGTTGTATGTTAATCAGAACACAACAACAATTGGCCAAATTATCGTCGGTAAAAAGAGTATTTTCCCTCTCGAACTGTTAAAAATCTAGGAACCCAAATGAAAGCAACCAGTCCTGACTTTTCATGAACAAATTAATAAGCTGGTGTAAATCGTCCTTCTACATTTTATACAATATTCGAAAGATCAGGAAATATTTAACAAAGGATGTGACAGCTACCCTTGTTCATTCCCTTGTTATATCCCATTTGGATTATTTTAACAGTGTATTGTATGGATTACTGGCTTATCAAATTGCAAAGTTACAGAGAGTTTAAACTTGTGTGAACTAATTTGAATAAAGGAAATCAGGTATCAGTCATGTCAACATAATTGAATAATTCTGCAACAAGTACACCTCTGAAGCCAATTGCAAAACAGGCGAAAATGCAAGATGCAAATGATCAAAGTTATGAAGAATTATTTGCTCTCAATTTCATCAATGAACGAAAAATGAAAGAAACTTGACAACCTGGACATTATTGAAAATAGACTGAACACGACTGACAACAAAATAAGCAAACTGAAATACTCCCTGACCTGCCAACTAGAATTAGAATCTTCAAATGACAAATCTACCTACACACAGTGAAACGTGTAATACATGCAACTGTATTATATTAGGAATATCCATTGTGTGTGAAAACTGCACAAGCTATTTTCATCCAAATGATTGTCAAATTGAGAATTTAGAGGGTCCTAACAATGACAAAAATTTTATCTGCAGGAAATGTGAAGTGGATAATCTTCCCTTTAATCGACTTAACGAAACAGATTTTCAAAATACAATAACAAGCTTGACTGCTGACAAAATAGAACATGATAATATAAATTTGAGGAATTTGATTTTTAACCCATTTGATAATACTTGTAGCAATCATGGATTGTAGGACTTATAATTTTTATAATTTTTATAATTCCCGACCATAATTTTTATACTGATGTTAACAATCAATCAATAGAAAACAGCAAGTATTTTCTCACGCAAGATTTTGTTGAATTAATGGATAAAAAATGCGTACATGAAAATCAATTTTCTGTACTAAATCTAAATATTAGAAGCATAGAGAACAAGGTTGATTAACCACACATTTACCGCAATAGCCCTGACAGAAACATGGCTAAATGATGACACTTGCGATATTGATCATTTTAACATACCAGGATACATAAAACTATAGCCTTAACCGTAAGTCTAAAGTAGGTGGAGGTCTCTGTATTTATATTAAAGAAAACATTATGGTTAAATTCGAGAGGATATAACAAATGATTGTAATTCAAACAACATTGAGGGTGTTTTTATCCCCGAGCCGACAGCGCCGTGCGAGGGTACTAATTCCCCCCCGGCTATTTACACCTGGGGAAACGAAAGCACTAGCGGAGTCTAAAGTTCATCAATTATCATGGGCGTGGGTGACCAACGGGTGGGTGGTCATCCTCACTGATTTAAAAAATATGGCGGACTGTCATGAATAGCGGACACTGATTGGTCCAATTTAGAATAGTGATTTTAAAACGTTTTGCGATGTGTTTGTGGTTGAATTTTACCTTAAATTGAGGCTTATATTACGTATAATAACATACCTAACATATATATGTTGGGAAATTAATAATTTTGTATAAATTAAAAGTGATATTTTTAGGTGATTTTTCATTTGTAACAATATTCTTAAAAAATTATCGTGTTACCATGACAACTACTTTAGATACTTCATGTTCGGAAAATACAATGGTTTTGTCAGCAAGGCGAGGGTTTCTGCATCCATGTATTTTCTAGTTGAATTAATACATCCTAAAGAAAAGAAAAGAATACAATCTTAGGTTTAGTCTACAGACCACCGAATAATATGTTTAGCAGTTTTGAAGAAAAAATTAAGGGTGCTCTAAGCAAAATAGATATGGAACTTAAAGAATGTTATATATTCTTGGAGATTTTAACATAGACCTTCTCAAACACAAAAAATGTGAATATTCTTGCAAGATTTCTAAATCAAATGATGTCATCTATGTTGCTGCCAATCATATCAAAACCTACACGAGTGACAAGTAAGACAGCAACATTTATCCACAACATATTTACCAATTCAATACATAAGACACAGCTGAGTGGAATACTATATAGTGACATATCAGATCACTTGCCAATATCTCTAATTAACAATGAAAATGAAACATTGGCTAAACCCAAAAATCAGAATTATATGACTATAGATATATAACAAATAAGTCAATAAATAGCTTTGTAGGAGACATCAATGATGAAGCATTAAATTTCAACAGGCTATAGACCAGGATGATCCAAAATTCATTTTTAGTCATTTATGGAAATATTTCAAGAGAAATACAATACACATTTCCCATTAAAAAATCTAAAACAACAAAAATTAGACTAAACAAGAGTCCATGGATCACACAAGGTATTGTAAAATCCCAGGGATGATCTTCTTTAATTATTTTTTCTTTAATCTTCTTTAATTATTAAAGAAGATTTGAGTTGAAGCTAAAAATTGTCTTTAATTGTCTTTAATTTTATTCTTTCTTCTTTTAATACTTAAAGAAAATAACATTGTCATTAAATTAAAATAAAAAATATTTTTACCTATACTGCTTAACAGGTAGGCAATTTGTCGACGCTGACCAAAAATAGCGGCTCATTTCTTCTTGAGTTGCCATTTTCGCGTCGAAGACCAAAAATATAGACTTTCGGAGAATATTTTAGCTGTTTACTATCAAATATGTTTGTCAAACAGTTCATAATCTCACTGAGGAAGGCCAACGGTTTCTGAAAAGCTAAAGTACGTCGAAATCAGCGTTGGAATAGACTATATTTTCACCGGGAAAACATGAACTAAATAGATATTTACATCAACACTAAATTTCGCTCATGCCTACAGAGCTACAATCTTGGCCATAAACCGTAGGACGACGATAAATTTTTATGCATTTTTAAGTCCTCGCGCCGCCCTTCCCCCCATTCAATGTTGCCGTTTTGTGTATATTCATGATCTGACCTACTCTACAACAAAATTGTACGTGTACTAGAAATGTGGGAAAGCAACATTGAATGGGGGGAGCGGGGGGAGGTGCAAAATGATTTTAAAACCCAAGTATATTAAAAAGTTGCGAATTTGTTTTGTCGTTCTACGAACTTTTGGCCAAGATTGTCTGAAAATTGCTACATGTTCATTTCCACGAAAAATGCATTTAACCTTGTACAAGACACTTGTGCTAATTTATTCTGAATAAAAATATCAAATATGATTGTTATATGTGTTGGCGGCGTGTACTATTTACGTCTTTAGTTAAGGTGGCTCTGCTAAGCTGCTCAAGTTATACTTGCTTTCAGATTACATATAAGACAATCATGGTCTTACTCTAGTAGAAGTTGTACAATCAAACTATCAAAGTTCAATCGCTTTTTTATAAAGAGGACCATACTCCTGTGAAATATCTGTTTTTAAATATATATTTCAGTTGTTCATAAAAGAAGGCAATCTATACGATATTAGATTGAAATTAAGCCAATGTGTTTAGATAATTGAGAATTATTTGCGCAAGTAATGTAAACAAGAGAAATTTTCTACTTCATTTTCCATAACAAAGAGTAATTGCAAGAGCTTATTGCGATATAATAATGCGCTGCAAATCAATATGTAATTGTTATACGTGGGAGCCGCCGGGCTTTCTGTAGTGTGACACTCCGTACTCAGTGACAGTACTCAAAGAAACAAGAGCTAAGCGAACATATATGAATTTGCGCAAGTAATGTAAACAAGGGAAATTTTCTCCTTTATTTTACATCAGAAAGAGTAATTGCAAGAGCTTATTGCGATATAATAATACGCTGCAAATCAATATGTAATTGTTAGACGCGCGGGCCGCCGGGCTTTCTGTATCGTGACACTCAGTACTCAGTGACAGTACTCAAAGAAACAAGAGCTAAGCGAACGTATATGATTTCACTGTCTGAAATAAAATGTTTTTAAATGTTGGCATAAGTGTCGCAATTCTGTTTGTTGGTATTTTGTGGGAAAATTGGGCCTTTGGAAAGGACAATCACAGTACTCGCCATAACAGGAGTTAAGACAATGTCTATATCTCATATTAAGTTTGGAGGTTTTAATGAGTAATGTCAATTATCGCTTCAAATGTACAATTTGTTTTACCTATTTACCATGAGATTGTAAGGACAGTAACAATGAACAAAATGCTGTGTATATTTTATGTATTTATTTACAATCCGACGAAAAATTAAGCAATTACCGTGAGTACTGTTCAT